ATGCGAGCAGTACCCACCCTGATGTAGAAATCCCCGTTCTCATCTCCCGCTTTGATGCGGAAGGTGTTGTAGGCTCCGGGATAGATGCTGGTCGCCTGAATTTGGAAGATGTCGGAGGGGACACTCCTCTCTGATGTGATGCTCATGTAGCGGTAAACAATCGAGGTGGGTTTGTCCTGGCATCCTGGCCTGGCTGAATGGCACACGCAGCGGCTGTGGGGACAAAGAGGGAGAGAGAGAGCCATCCTGTTCAATTCAGCTTCACACCAGAGAGAAACTGTCTTTGCTGAAACGTACCGAGTTCGAAATATCCTCGGATTTGCCAAAAACCGCCTGTAGGATGCCACTTACAAAGTTACCGTGCAAGATAAGGGCTCGGGCATGTGGCAGGAGTGAGGGCAAATGTATGTGGGGCATTTTTTGAAGGTGGCACACTACCAGGTCTGGTGGTCGGCTATGTACAATCTGTCTTAAAGAGTCACGTCTGTACGTTGGCAGAACACAAAGTGAGGCAGCAAATTAAACTGTGGGGAGGATACACAGTGACTGCAGAAAGATGGAGGCTTGCAAAGCAAGCAGGCAACAAGGCAGTAGACAGATCTCAACGTGGGCACGGCCCGTTATTCACTCTCGCTAAGAACTGAGTGAGAATTCAGTAACACAAAATTTGCAAACAATAGCGTCCCGAGGTGTACACACAGTAAAGCAAGCCAGTTATTATCTATGCCTTCCATCCCTATCTGCTCCTGGAGAAGGTGATGGTGAGCTGCCTTCTTGAACTATTACAATCCACATGGTGTAGGGACACCTGCGATGCTGTTAGGGAGTGAATTCCAGGATTTTGACACCGAGATATTTCCAAGTCAGGACGGTGAGGGACTCGGAGAGGAGCTTTGCAGGGGGTAGTGTTCCCATATGTCTGCTGCCCCTTGTCCTTCTAGATGGTGGGGTTGCAGGTTCGGAAGGTGCTGTCTGAGCAGTCTTAGTGAATTATTGCAGGGCATATTGTAGATGGTACACGCTGCTGTTACTGAGGGTCGGTGGGTGGAGGGAGTGGGATGTTGGTGGATGTGGTGCCAATCGAGTGGGGGCTGCTTTGTCCTGGATGGTGTCGAGCTTCTTGAGTGTTGTTGGAGCTGCCCCCATCCAGGGGCAAGTGGGGAGTATTCCATCACACTCCTGACTTGTGCCTTGTAGATGGTGGGACAGGCTTTGGGGGGGAGTCAGGAGGGGAGTTACTTGCTGCAGGATTCCCAGCCTCTGAATCTAGTAGTGTTTCTGGTCAATGGTAACCCCCAGGATGTTGATAGTGGGGGATTCAGTGATGGTAACACCGTTGAATGTCAAGGGGCAGTGGTTAGATTGTCTCTTATTGGTGATGGGCATAGCCTGGCATTTGTGTGGCGCGAATGTCACTTGCCATTTGTCAGCCCAAGCCTGGATATTGTCCAGATCTTGTTGTATTTGAACATGGACTGCTTCAGTATCTGAGGAGTCGCGAATGGTGCTGAACATTGTACAATCATTGGCTAACATCTCCACTTCTGAGCTTGTGATGGAGGGAATCTCATTGATGAAGCAGCTGAAGATGGTTGGGCCTAGGACACTTGGCATTGGAGTACAGGAGTTAGGCCACCTTCCTCCACTTGTACAGTGTGACCACAGCTGGAATACATTGCGGGGTCTAGATCTCAGGGAGAACAAACTTGGAGCAGAGGTGATAGAGTGATGGTTCAACCCATCAGTCCCTGGGACCAGAGGCTGAATGAGTCAGGTCAACATTGTCTGGGGTTAAGACCCACAAGGGAGATGCCCTAAACCCCGTCAGCGAAAACAGGATGGTTCTGGTCACCACTCATGTGGCTGCTCACGGGATCTTGCTGTGCGTAAAGCTGGCTGCTCTGCTCCCCCCTACGTTGACAACACTCCTGGGAAGGTACGTCATCAGCCGTGAGGTGCTTCGCGAGGCAAGGTGCTGTACAAAGGTGTGCAACCCTTTTAATTTGGTTCTGTCCATGATTTCGATCTGACTTTGTCACGTCCTGAGGGCTGGGCTGTTCTTGAGATAGTGAGGGGTGGCAGGGTTGTGGCGGGGG